AGTAAGTCAACTGAGCACACAAACTAGAGATGAGTCTGGATAAAAGGCAGAGTTTATTAAATGGCATCATTGACTTTCCAGAGGTGGAAAATTGTTTCTGAAAGACATTCTCAAACTAGGAATTCAGAAATAATTTGAGCAGTGACACTATCACTTGAACAAGTGCATGATCTTTGAGGTTGAATTAAGTGAAGGAAAAGAATCATTGTGTTTCAACTGTGACTTTGGACAAGTCTACTCTGAGCTCCTACTTCTTCCTGAGACCCTCAAAAAATGAGGATAGGTCCTGTCATTTGCAAAAACATGGATGAACCTAGAGGACATTATACTAAATGAAATAAGTCAGACACAGAAAGACAAATACCATGTGATCTCATTTATATATGAAATATAAACTGAATATGTAAAAGCAGAAAGAAGATGCTACCCAAATTAATTTATAAGTCCAATGCAATTCCTATCAAATCACTAACAACATTCTTCATAGAAATAGAAAAAAATTATAAAATTGATTTGGAATTATAAAATACCCCATACTGCAAATACAAACAAATAAATAAATAAAGTTGGAAGCATCTCATTACTCAACTTCAAAATATATCACAAAGCTGTAATAATTGAAACAGCATGGTGGGACCAGCAGATGGTGTAATAGCTATGTCGCTGGACTCCCACACAGTCGACCGCAGTTTGAGTCCCAGACCTGGCAGCTTAAAACTCAGGCCAGGCACATGTATGTGTGTGCCTAAAACCCCAAGAGGAGAATGGAAGAGAAGGGATTGTGGTATGGCCATCCCCCACCCCCAGGGGGGTGATTTCTCACTTTCTGTCTTTCTGTCTTCTGGCAAGTGCATATGCCCTATAGCCCAACTCTCTCCTTAAAAAAAAAAAAAAATTATGGTACTGGCATACAAACAGGCACATAGAACAGAATAGAGACTCCAGAAATAAACCCAAAAACATACGGCCAACTGATTTTTGATCAAGGGCACAAAACAATTCAGTGAAGAAAAAACATCTTTTCAATAAATGGTGCTGGGAAAACTAGATCATTACCTGAAGAAAAATAAATCTAGTCCCCTATCTCTCATCATTAACATATATAAACTCAAAATGGATTAAAGATTTAAATGTAAAGCCTCAAACTATAAAATGTACTATGGAAAACACAGGGAAACACTTGGAAACACTGGAGTAGGCAAAGTTTCTTAAATATGATCCCTAAAGCACAGGCAACAAGTCCAAAGATAGACAAGTAGGATTACAGCAAGTTGAAAAGCTTCTGCACTGCAAAGAAAGCAATAAATAGGATAAAGAAACAACTCACAGAATGGGAGAAAATATTTTCAAACTACTTCAGATAAGGGATTGATAAACAGAATATATGGGGAACTCAAGAAGCTGACCCACAAAAAAAAACTAATAATCCAATTTTTTTTTGGGGGGGAGAGGTTTATTTCTATAGGGCACGTGTGCTCACCAGAAAGACAGAAAGACACAGAGAGACAGAAAGCAAGAAATCATCACCGGGAGGGATGAATACACTGCAATCCCTTCTCTTCCATTCTCCTCTCAGGATCTTGGGCACGCACACACATGCACCCAGTGTGAGTTTAAGCCACTGGGTCTGGGACTCGAACCATGGTCAACCACATGGGAGTCCAGCAGCATAGCCATTACACCAACTGTTGGTCCCCTAATAATCCAATTTAAAAATAGATAATCAATCTGAACAGACAACTCCCACTGGAAGACATATGAATGGTTGAATGGTTAAAAAGAAAAAGAAAAAGCTCAACATCCCTTATCATGAGTGAAATTCACACCAAAACCACAATGAGATACCACCTAACCCCAGACAGAATGGCTATGATCCCCCCCAAAGAAAAAGAAAAAAGAAAAAGAAAGGAAGGAAGGAAAGAAGGAAGGAAGGAAGGAAGGAAGGAAGGAAGGAAGGAAGGAAGGAAGGAAGGAAGGAAGAAACAAAGAAAAGGAAAAAAGAAAGAAAGAAAGAACAAGTGCTGATGAGGTTGTGGATGAAAGGGAACTTTTATGCACTGTTAATGGGTGTATAAACTAGTACAGCCACTATGGAAAGTAATATAGAGGTTTCTCAAAAATTCAGAAATAGAACTATAATATGACCTAGTAATCCCACTCCTGCATAATTACCAAAAAACAGAAAAATCAGTCTATCAGAGAGACATTACACATCTATGTTTATTTCAGCATTATTCACAATAGCTAAGGCATGGAATCAGCCTAAATGCCCAACAAATTATGACTAAATTAAGAAAATGTGGCACTATAAAAATGGAGTACTACTCAACCAAGAAGAAAAAAAGATTCTGTCATCTGATATGAAGTGGACAAATCTAGAAGAGTTAATGCTAAGTAAAATAAGCGAGACTATGAAAAACAAACACAGTATTCCCTGCTTAACATATACCAAATGTTTGTACTCTATGGCAGAAATTGAAAAATTAAAAGATGACATAGAAGTACAGAGGGCAACTATAGATACCAAAGATTGCATGGGGCATACGAGTTGGGGAGAAGACAGGCTTGGGACAAAATGTTTAACAGACACAAGAATGTATGTAAACAAGGTAAATAGGTCATGGATGTCTAACACAATCGAGCAAAAAAAGGCATTGTCATTCATATATACATGTATATATATATACACACATGTATACTAGTAAAATGAAAATCATAGGTGCGCAACATAATGTAATGTTTTTGGTTGAAGATGTCGAATATGGTAACATTGTTGATTAGGTTAATATGTATTACATGCATGCTTCAAAGTACCATTTTTACCTCATAAATATATACAACAAATAAACATAAATAAGAAATTATTAAAGAAAAGAAAAGCTTAAAAAAAAGACAGGAGAACAGTAGTTGAGGGGAGTGGAGAAGGTAGTGAAAGTGTACAAACTTGCAGTTAGAGAGGATGAACAGAGATCTAATGTACAGCATGAAGACTAGTTAAAATATTGCATTGTGTAGGGAGCGGCTGGATCTGGGCAGAACAATAGTAGCCTTTAAGGATGAGCAAAGGCACAGTTTCCCATGATTTGTGCCCATGCTGCAAGACCAGTGGAGATAGAGAAGCTATGTATCTGCCAGAGTGGGCCAGAGGAGGCAAAAAGAGGTTAGAACCGCAAGACACAGGATGTTCCACAGCTCCTGCTTACATAAGGCATCCGGCTTCACATCCTGTATCCACTCCCTTTTGTCCTAAAAAAAGAATAAATCTGGGAATGGCTCAGGGCCGTGGCTATCTCTGTCAGAGATGCCTGGACCACCCAATGCCCTCTTTTCTCTATTTGGGTGTTTATGTGTTTTCTTTCCAATCCACCACTGTTCCCCTTCAGGTAAACATCTTACTGAGCAGGCCTCGACAGTATTATATGTTGGAAATTTATTAGCAACAGGTGCTCTTACCACAAAAAAAAAAAAAAAGAAAAGAAAAGTAACTATATGAGATGACAAATGTTGATTTGCTTGACTGTAGTAATCATTTCATTATATGTATGCACACCAAATCATCATACTGTACATCTTAATTATATACAATAAAAATAAGAGGGCTGGCCCCATGGCCTAGTAGTTAGGGAGCTAGATCCCACATGGCCGACACTGCAGTTTGAATACAGACATGGAAAACTGAAAAACATGTTGGACATATGTATGTTCATGCCCAAAATACTGAAGAGATGGAGAAATAGAAAAAGATTGCAACAGGACCCACTGGGGGATGTTTTCTCCCTCTCCTTGTCTCTCTCTGTCTCTCTCTGATGAATGTCCTTTCAATTTAAAAAAAAAAAGAAAAGAAAAACTGAACATCACAATCCAATACCTGTTTTTGAATGTTGAAAGGACTACTCAATTTGATTAATGAAAAATATTCTGCATACTCTAAAGTGCTACAGAAATATTGTTACTTTATATTACTAAAGTAATGGAGATTCTAACTCTGGTAGCCATTACAAGGGATTTCTTCCAAGGATGCTACACTGAAGGCCCATCTAAGATTTTTTTCCAACTATGAGACTTTTTTCTGACCCTAAGCTATGTATTTAAATTATACCTATAAAATCCTTACTTGGTAACTATACCAAATTCACCAATGTTGGGGAAAAGAACCTTATACTTCCTAAGAGATTTGAATCAACAAGTCAGCAAACAAACAAGAGTTTTAATGACCCAGAGGAGTGATTGTAACAGCGCAGAGTTCTTTTGGGGGTGACAACAATGTTCTAAAATTGATTGCGGTGATAATTGCAAAACGCTATGAATAGACTAAACCATTGATTTGTACATTTGAAATGGGTGAATTGTACAGATTATGCCTTAGTAAGAATGTTATATATTTTTTTAAATCCCCTCAAGCCTTTTCTAATAAACTCTTTTTAACAGAATATGACCCCTGACTGACTGCTCATGGCTATAAACTGTCTCATAGGACCTCTGCAAAAACAGCCAATGGGATACAGAGTCCCATTTTACAGTGGAAGCAACTGAAGAACCAAGCCTCAGAAATGGGCGCAATTTGGGAACCAGCAGTTAGCGTAATGGCTATGTCTCTGGACTCTCACGTAGTCGACCGCGGTTCGCGTCCTGAACCCGGTGGCTTAAAACTCACGCCGGGCGTGTGTGCGTGCGTGCCCAAGATCCCAGGAGGACAATGGAGGAGAAGGGATAGTGGCGTGACCATCCCCCCTGGGGGGTGATTTCTCGCTTTCTGTCTCTATGTCTCTCTCTGTCTGTCTGGCGAGCGCACGCACCCTACAGCGAAAACCTCTCAAAAAAAAAAAAAAAAAGAAATGAGAGCAATTTCACTTGGCATTTACAGAGCAAGTCAACAGCAGCCTACATTGCCCCCATGTGCTAGATGTCTGGCTGTTACAGGGTTTTTTTTTTTAATACACTTTAGGATATGCTTCAGAGGAACACACACAGAATAGAATAGAAAAATATCAGTGGTTTACCTGTAACAGAGTGTGTACTGCATGTGTGACAGGGAAAACTCCTTCAGTGGCTGATAAACATTCTGAAAATCCAACGAAGTATCCAACTTTAAGGAATCCAAGGATGATGGTAATGACTGCAAACAATGTGATACTACCTAAATGGGGTCAGGGGAGGAGACACACACACACACACATTACAGATGCGCGTTACTATGCACTGATGTTATTTCAAAATAAGTTCACATATATGGTTAAATTGTTTTGGGAAAGGGTGCCAAGACCATTTAATGGAGAAAGGACAGGGTTTTTGTGTGTTTTTTTTTTAACAAATAGTGTAGGAAAAATTGGATATCTACACACAAAAGAATGAAAGTGGATCCTTACCTTACCCCATACATAAAAAGTAACTCAAAATGAATGATGAAAGCTAAATGTATAAAAATTTTGAAAGAATTAGCGGGAAGTCTTCATGACATTGGATGTGGCAACAATTTCTTGGCTATGACACCTACAGCACAAATAACAGAAGTAAAAATTGATAAATTGAACTACGTCAAAAAATTTTGTTCATCACAGGATACTATCAACAGAGTGAAAAGACAGCCCACAGAATGGGAGAATGTATTTGCAGATTGTATGTCTGATGAGTCATTAATATCCACAATATTTAAAGAATTCCTACAGGGACTAGGTGGTGGCACAGTGCAATACAACTGGGCCCACATAGGAAAGAACCTAGGTTTGTTTCCCATGACCTCCCTCCATATGTTGGGTATGTCCACGACAGTGATCCATGTCAACTGAGACTGGGGGTGGATCGCAATGTGAAGACTTCACTGGGGGTGCCTGTCTCTTTGTCTCTTGCCTTCTTCCTGTCTATCTCTCTCATGGAAGAAATAAACTTTAAAAATAAAAATCAACTGGGAGCCGGGAGGTGGCTTGGTAGTTAAGGGCGCTGGACTCCCACATGGCTAACCATGGTTCAAGTCCCAGACCTGACAGCTTGCTTTCTTACCTTCTCTCTCTCTCTCTCTCTCTCTCTCTCTCTGCTTCTCCCTCCCTCCCCCCTCCCTCCCTCCCTCCCTTCCTCTCTGGTCAAATTAAAATAAATAAAAATAAATAAAGTTAAATCGAATAATTTTTTAAAAAAAAACAATTAAAGTATGGGCCAAGGGGCTCAGCTGTGGTGGCAAGTGCTGCCAAGATACTGTGCTTTATAGGTTGAGACCACGTGGAAGGCCTAGATTCAATTCCCAGCCTAACCAAAAGGCAAAGTGAGGAGGTGTGCACCTGTAATCCCAATGACTCCGGAGGCAGAGGCAGCAGGATGCAATACATATAAATACATACACACAATACAATATTATTCAGCTTCAAAAAGGAAGAAAATTCTGACACACACAATAACATGGATGAACCTTGAGAACATTATGCTAAATAAAATAAACCAGTCACAAAAGGACAATGCGATTCCACTAATATGAGGTAGCTAGAGTTGTCAAATTCACAGAAGCAAAAAGTAGAGTTGCGGTTTCCAGGGGCCAGAAAAGTGGGGAAATGGGGAGTTAGTGTTCAATGGAGATAGAGTTTCAATTTTGCAAGACAAAATGAAAGAGATTAGTTGGCAAAGTTAACGCTGAACTATAAACTTAACAATGGTTAAGTCAGTATGTTTAACTTTATGTATATGTTACCACAATTAAAAATAAAAAAATACATTAATAAACCCTATTAGGCTGATAAGCTGAAACTAGAAGACAGGTATTGTGCTTTATTCATCGCTATGTCCATTCCATGCATGTCCTGGGGTCTGACAAATGAGTACCTTCAGCAATGTTTGGTTCAATCAGCAAAAGACCTTTAGAAATCAATCTAAGAGTGGGACCACCAGTTGGCATAATGACTATGTTGCTGGACTCCCATGTAGCCGACCATGGTTCGAGTCCCAGACCTGGTGGTTTAAACTCACGCTGGATGCGTGTGCATGCATGCCCAAGATCTCAGAGGAGAATGGAGGAGAAGGGATTGCAGTGGGGCCATCCCCCCTGGAAGGTGATTTCTAGCTTTCTAGCTTTCTATCTCTCTGTCTCTCTCTGTCTTTCTAGCGAGCGCACGTGCCCTATAGCAAAAACTTCTCCAAAAAAAAAAAAAAAGAAAGAAATAAACCTACGAGTATCTAAGTTCTACTTAAAATTTTCAGTTCTCTAATCCTAAAAATCCTGCTCTTTTAAGAATAAGGATTCAAGGTATATAGTTATACAAAAACTCTGTAGTATATTTACACATTTTCTGTAAATCTAAAACTTTTCTAAAATGGAAAGTTTATTTTTAAAAAATGGTGGATAAAGGGTCTATCATAGTGACCTAAGCTAACAATGACCTCTGTTAGCTTAAATGAAGAAAGGGAGCAGCATTTGATGGTCTAATCAGCATGGCTTTTATCAAAAATAAAAACAAAAAGTGTACATATAAGAAACAAGACTAGAAAGGAATATGCAAAATACATTTAAAAAACACATGTGACAAATGAAGAAATTAGAAAAACAGTGATCACAGGGCTTTGGTGCTATGGTTTGAATGTGTTTCTTTCTAAACTCACCTTGAAACTTAATTCCCCATTACACCAGTATTAAGAGGTAGACCTTTGGGAGATAGAGAGGATTAGAGAATGCCATCAGAGCGAGGCCCTATGATGGGACTTGTGCTTTATGAGAGACTTCATGAGCTGACATCACCATGTGATGCCTCCCGCCATGTCAAAATGCAGCAAGAAGGCCCTAACTAGATGCTGGCACCTTGATATTGGACTTCCCAGCCTCCAAAACTGTGAGCTAAATAAACCTCTATTCTTTATAATTACCCAGTCTCAAGTATTCTGCTAAAGAAAACATTTCTCTTTGGGGCCAACACTGACTGCCATTCACACATTCTCTCCCACGAACAGGAGGAAACTGGACCGTGTGTGACGTGCTCTAAGACACCAAGCCGAGAGAAGGGCATGAGTTTTCACAATGAGCTATAATGTTTCATCCTCAGCCTGAGAAGCCTCTAGCAAAAAGTAATGCAATCTCCTGGCTTGTTTCCATTGCTCAAGCCTTATAGAAACAACTCTAAGTCACATTTATTTTTTTTTAGTCCTGGAAAAACTCCAGTGAAATCAGAAACTCTGTAAGAGTGGAGATTCAATCCCGAGGCTTTGAAATTGTTTGACAAATGCATAGTTCGTTTTGATTACAAAAAGAAACAGCAAGATTAGGCAAGGTAGTCTGGCTGGGTGGGTGGCGAGAGCACAAGCCCAGAGCTACCTGACTTTCATCCTGGCTGTGCCACTGATGGAACGAATGAGTTCCTACAAGTCACTTTCTTTGCTCTGAGTCTCAAAATAACCATAAATAGACTGAGGATGATCTACAGCACTGGTTCTCAAACTCGGGCATGCATCAGAATCACCTGAAAGGCTTGTTAAAACATAACTGGCTGGGTTCCACCCCCAGACTTTCAGATTCAGTAGGTCTAGGGTGGAGCCCTGAAATGTACATGTCTAACAAGTTCCAGATGGGCTGATGCTGATGTTCTGAGACCCCACTATGAAAACTACTGGTCTAGAACATCCCCATAGTTGACATTTCGAGGGTTCGGTGGTGAATACTTCATATAGCTTTTCACACTCTGGAAGTCCTCTCTTCCATCCATGGATTCATTTGCACATTTATTTATACAACAAATATTTGGGGGACTCCTGCTATGTGTGAGACATTGTACCAGGAGCACAGTGAAACAAGATTGCAAGAGAAAGAAAAATATTCAAGTATAATATTGCATAAATTGGGGTGTGCACAAACTACAGAGGGAGGAACTGGCAGCAGACTTTTCACCTGCTGCCTGAGAAACTGGAAGAATGTGGAGGAATCTATTTCAAAGAAAGGACTGCAACTCAGAAACCTCACGGCCAACCAAGGAGTCACCCATTTATCAGTGCAAAAGACAGAAAGCTACTTGAAGATATGCAAAAATAATAATAATAATAATTAATTCATCAATTGTTTATTGAGCACCAACTATGGGTCAGGAACTGGGGATATAAGAGGGAATAAAATAAAATTCCTGTTCTTAGGGAATTTAACATTGTAGTGAGAAAGACAGAAAATAAACAAACAGATAATAATCAGATAAAGAATGTCAGGAAATACTAGTGCGTGAAGAAAAGTAATGCAGCGAAAAGGATTGAGGTTAAAGGTAGGTGGTTAAAAGAGGACTCTGAAGGGTGACACTCAACAGAGAACAGAGGGTAAGAGACAAATGTCATCCACATAACTCTTCTAATGAAGGGCTTAAACCAAGCAACAAGTGAAATGGAAGAGAGTCCTCAACACAGAGGAAGTCAAAAAGGAAAGGAAATATGGCAAAAAATTGTAGGGGCAGTGGGGACCAGCAGTTAGCGTAATGGCTACATCGCTGGACTCCCACGTAGTCGACCACGGTTCAAGTCCTGGACCCGGTGGCTTAAACTCACGCCAGGTGCGTGTATGTGCGTGCCCAAGATCCCGGGAGGAGAATGAAGGAGAAGGGATTGTGGCATGGCCATCCCCCCTGGGGGGTGATTTCTCGCTTTCTCTCTCTCTGTCTCTCTCTGTCTTTCTGGTGAGCGCATGCGCCCTATAGCGAAAACCTCTCAAAAAAAAAAAAAAATTGGAGGGACAGGTAAGAGAATTGTGGATGGACAGATGAATAGATGAATAGTACATAGATAAACAGAATAATAGCAGGGAAAAGGTAAAAGAAGCTAAATCCAAATAGATAGATAAACTGCCTGAGAATGTGTAATTTGCATGCTCTACAAAAAGTTGTCAAAGAATAAACATTTTGAGGGGAAATTCTGATGAATATTAAGTACTTCTATACAACCTGTAAGTTGGAGAAGGACTGGGTGAGAAGCAGAGAAGAAGCTTTTCCAAAAGTCTCATGAGAAAAAGATGGGAAAACAAATATGCTCTACAGATCTCACTGAGTAGCAAGGAAGTGGGAGAACAGAGCCTGCTGGAAGGGAAGCAACGCGCCTTCTGGGAGAAAAGTCTGGCATTTCGTTTTCAGATAGAAACGGTAATGTGCTTCTGATTATGAGCAAGAGGGAAGCAAAGATAGCCATTAATGAAAT